AAGAGACAGACATTATATATTGCCTTCTTCAACTTCTGCCGCCTGAAATCAAGGAAAATCTATGTATACAACTCTTCACAAAGCTGTCCACCAAAATGTTTCTCTGCAACTTTTTTTTTTAATATATTCTAAACTTTTAAACAAGTCTGAGTTTACCAGAAAGAATGAGATTAAAGTCTTTGGTGTTGCGGAGCAGTGTACTGTGCCTAATTTGCTGGCTGTTTGGAAACCTGCTGTAATTCTTTGCAAGTGGGAGTGATTAGGGTAAATGGCTGGGCACTGCACTGTAAAGATAGTTGCATTATGCTAGGATGTTTTCAGTACTCAAGGAGGTAGGTTAGGTGATGAATTTCTCCCAAATTTCCTATTGAGGAAACTGAGATTCCTGTCAAATTTATTTTTTCTTCATAGTACTTTGTCACCTGCAGGCAAGTACTAAGAGAGTTTTAAGAAATAGACTGAAATTATGGCGTGTGTTGAAAAGCTGCTGGTGGTGGGAGAGTGTCTGTAAACATAATTTTAGGATTAATGGCTAGGTACTTACACAATTAGTACTATTATTTTTCAGTATGTGTAGCACCAAAGAACATTGTAACTGTGACGTGCCATCACTGTTATGGCGCCAGTGATGTTCTTGTTCTGCTCAAGATTTGCCTTCCCTTAGAAGGGTGGAGAGGACAGTACAGACTGTTCTCATCCTGACCTGTCCTTGTCCATGTTCGCATGGATAGCTAGTGCTGCTCCCACCTCTTCTTAGCAAAACAGAACAGAGCCCCTCTCTGTGAGGGGGGTGGGCATGGGAGTGGTTGAATGAATGCTGGAAAGGGAAGCAGGAGTGTAGGGGCCTTATTTTTGCAAGGAATGGGGGAGTAGAAAAGGGCATGTGCTGAAACATCAGCTTCTAAGCTTCCTCACCATGGGTTATATATCATTCCTGTGCAAGTTCTGGTTTCCTAGATCAGATTACCTGGACAGCAGTGCTTAGAAGGAGGAAACAAACCCTCACGTTCTGATCATTTGTTTGATAGTGGTGATATACTAACAGCAGGTTTGATACTGGTGAAAGCTGCAGTGGAGTTGTCAGTTGCTGGTAATATGGAAGCTGAAGAACAATGATGAACTCTTACACACAGCAGAACTGTGTAGCTATAGCTGACAGTTGTCAAGATGTGGTTGGATCCATACAATACGAGAGTGGTATTCATGCTGGCCCTGACACCCGGGCTTGTGGACACATGGAAAATAAATTTAAGTATCAGTGACTTTTACTTATTTTGGGGGAACTTCTGTAGTTTGTTGGGCTTAATGTTAGGTGTTCAGGTTGTATATCATAACTTGAGAGAAGTGATACAAGCGAAACAAATCTCTTACCTAGGAATCTTACCATCCAAATGTGAGGGGAAGGATGAGTATTTGCAGATTGGGCATGTAGGAGTCCTCGTGGATTAGTCAGTCATATCAGTTTACCAGAGATTTACCTAAGTGGTACCTACCTTTTTTAGTCATTGCAGCAGGAATAGGGTTTTATTAAAGAGATGGGATTCTTAAGAAGGCCACTCCTATACAGGAGCATAACGAGGTAGAAGAGGGAAAATATCTTGTAAAGTGGAGTGAGGGGTAGTTATTAGAGGAATCCTGTTTAAAAAAAACCAACATTGCGTAAAGTGATGGGTAGAATACTTTGTAGATAACATAATCTTGAGCACTGTGCATTGCAAAATACTACTATGCCAAGATCAGCATGAGAGTTTTTTAGTAAAAATTAGAAAAGCTTTTGACCAGGAATTACAATTGCAAAATAGAATTGGAAAAGCTATGTATTGGTGTAGTGTTCGGATAATGTAAATATTGTTTGCTTGCATATGGAGATCTGAAAGAGGACAGTCAAAGGCTTTGTCTAAGGCACAGAATTTTTGATTTGTCCTACAGTACACATCATCTGAACATGTCCCCATGCATCTGTTCTCCAGCAACAGGTTAACACACCAACCAGAAAAACAGCAGCATGAGTAGTCAAGTTGGTATCTACAAACATATTGCTCCTCTGTTATTTCTATTCTCGTGAGTGATTTAAGTAAGGATGTACAGTATCACCTTGTTTGTGTTCTGGCATTAGTAAGTGGTTTTAACCCTCAAAGCCCATATGGCTATATTTTTAGATCAGGAGATCAGGCTCTGTTCTTAAATGATTGTGACATGTGCCAGTATTCTGTGGAATTAACCTGCTTGACTCCATCTGATACATCATTATTGAAGATCTTAGATTTGCAACTATTTGAAGGGAAAATATATGTGTATATATTCTCTATCCAACACTAAAATGTAGGCACAGCTTCCATCACTTGAAAATTAAAAACCAGAAATGGCCAACCAACTAAAAAAAACCCTGTTACATTGTAGCATTCAAACAGTTCCTGTAGGAGTAGGATGTTTGCAGAAAAGTAGCACAGGTTTGGTCTACCAGAAGCACTTACTTGTGGTTTAAATTCTTCATGTATTTTTGTGGCTGGAAACAATGAATTTTAAGTGTTTATTTCACTATAGGCTTACATACATTCTTAAATGCTTTTTTTTTTTTTTTTTTTTAAAATTCTAGTAGTCAAAGAAGCCCATCACCAGGTCCAAATCATACCTCTAGTACTAGTGCATCAAATTCAACACCTGCACCACAGAATACATCTGTACGACCCACTTGTTCATTAACACCTACGCTAGCAGCACACTTCAATGAAAATCTTATAAAGCATGTTCAAGGCTGGCCTGCAGACCATGCAGAAAAACAGGTGAGTACACTTGCACTTAGTTCCCTGTGAGAGTGCAAAATGTGTAGTTTAAAATCTGTTTTTCCTACCCAGGTTGCTTTTTCTAGGAATTAAAAGTATTTTTAAAAAACCCAATGCTTGACCTTAGCCAGAAAAAAGGAGAGGGAAAAGATAGGCCAGACCTGCAGGTTTTACATGTGATTTGATATTTAGCAGTTGAGTGTTTTCAGTCGCTTAAAGTACCAGTACTTTTGAAATTCTCTCAAATGAATAATTATCCTCCTAACTATTTTCTTACAGCCAAAGTTCTGTTGAAATTTACAAAGAACATAAACTTCAATAAATTTTTATAATAATGATATTTTTGTTATGTGGAAAATGTTATGTATTAAGTGATGGAGTTAAACTGTGGAGTAGTCTCAAATAGTTTGAGTCACTGAGTTTTTAGCTCTACGCAGTGAAAAAGGAACTCTGCCTTGTTTGTTGTACCCAGTTTTTAAGATGATGTAGAGGGCTCAGACTGAGTTTGGGCTATTTTTACATAATGGGAAATCCAGTAGAATTGCCATCCATATTTTATAACTGCATGAAACCTATCCTGTTCTGGTAATACAGGGAAACTGGATGTATGTCAACTGCTTGGAATGTATTACTCAAAGGAACCGTATTGGTTATTGAGTCTAGTTCAAGTCCTTTCACAGGCAACCCTGTCTGACAGTCTGTATGGGATATTAATCTTACCTAGCCCAGTTTACTCTGATCTTTTGAAGAGTGGTTGCATGCTGGCTGAAACCTACACTTGAAGGCTTTTGTGTAGTAACTTGCACGATGACT